CCCCAAAACCCCAAAACCCCAAAACCCCAAAACCCCATATAGGCTAAATCATTGAATTATATTGCATCTAAAAAATGGCTGGTTGGCTAAGAAACGTTGGCTCGAAAATCGGGGGAGTTGTGAAGGCTATCGACCTCTACGGAAAGCGTATTACTCTCAATTATAAAGGAGAGGACAAGTTCAAGACTATGTTCGGTGGATCTGTGAGCATATAATCGTGCTGATAGTACTTCTTGGCTATGCTGCCTACATGGTTGAAGTAATGTTTGCTCGAAGAACAGTAGTTTATAGCACCAATAGTGTCATTAGAGATCTCACGAAAGATGACTTAGAGCATCATCCAGCTGAGCATGGCTTTGCTATTGCCTTTGGGTTCAGATTCAATAATGTTAGTCTTCTTGACGAAGAATATCTGAGAATGTATAAAATTAGAGCTTACCAATACCATTCTATTGTGAAACCAGAAGGTGGATGGAACGAGACTTGGACAGAGCTCGAGCTGATTAAATGTGGAGATACCTTCCCTTATCAAAATAAAACGTTGCTCAAACAATTCTCTATTGATCAATATGTTTGAATCAAACCTACAAACTATTCCATCGTTGGGAACTGGTATACCGATATTTCAAAATCTATCCAAATTGAAATATCTAGATGAGACACAGATGAAAGAGAATGAGATGAAGAAGCTGACATCAATTACCATATTTATAACCAGTATTTTGAAATATTGATGATCAATAGTTACTTTGATTTGAAAAGCTTCAGTGAGCCGATTAAAAACTATCTCACTCAAAAGTTCTATTACACTTATCAAGAAGGTACCTTTCTCAACACAGATATCTTCTTGAAAGAAAATACCATTAATGCTCTGGATGACTACACCCTAGTTGATGGAAGGAAAGATGGAACGTTCTATGCTGTTGCTGAAGAGAAATCTGATAAATATACTGATTGGTCAGGAATGTATTCAAGAATATCTTTGTACCTAGACCCAGAATCAGACACATACACCAGAGCTGTTTTCACTCTTACAGACATCCTAGCTAGCATTGGAGGTATTTTCAGCCTTCTTCAGTCTTTGGCTGCAGTAATTGTTGCTTTTTATGCTGACCGAGTCTATAACTTTTCGGTAATTTCCAAAATTTACACTTTTGATGAAAACGAATTGAGTGAAGATCCAGATGAAAATTTGAATAAAATAGATGAAGGTTCTCAAAAACCAATCAATGTTGAAGGAGAAAATATCTACCAAAACTCTCACCCGGATGAATTCTTCTCTGAAGAAGACAAGAAGGGTGACAGTGAAGAGGACGAAGGAGGGGCACCAGAAGATCCAGCCAAGCCTGTCAACCAAAAATCATATATTTAGCTCTGAGCAAGAAAATTCACTAAGGAAGAAGTTAAGAGCAAAGAGAAGGTATGCTCATACATCCCTTGATCTCCTATATAATTTATTCTGAGTGATCAAGTGAAAGAAATGGTGCAGGAATCGGTACATGAACTCCAAAATATACAACAAAGGTCTTCAGAGATATTCCCATGACTTAGATGCAACAAATATTGCTTTAAATTTGCATCAGTTGAATATTTTTATGAATGTACTCTTCACCGACAGGCAAAGGATTCTATCTAAGTTCAGCAGGCTGAGGTCTGTGAATAATGAAAGCTGAGTAACAGAGACCAAACTTGACTTTGTGATGCCTTACAGATCCAAAAACTTCGACCAAAAGCTTTCAAAGTACCAAGATGGTACAGATGGTAAATTAAAATTTAAAATTTGATATAGAACTTATAGAAAATATTAAAGAAAATAAGCTCACGGAGCTTGATAAGAACCTTATTAAGCAGATTGACCCAAGCTGGGAATCAAAAATGGAAAACACGCCATTAAACACTTTGTGCAAAAAAGATCAAGGCTCAGGAGACTCAGCACAGAAAAAGAGAAACATCACCTCTCCTGAATACAAGGTTAGCGTCTCAGCAAAAGATGTCCATATTGAGCTGCAGCAGAGACCTCCCAACAAAAACTACAATGTTTCTTCTTCTTCATCTTTTATGAATGAAGAAGACATGATGTAAGTTGTATCCTTGACTCTATAGATCTGCAGAAGTAGACGATGGTGGAATCGCATTTGGCAATAAGGAGTCTATCCTATCAAAGAAGGAAGAGAAGAGATCTGCTTCATATCTTGCCAAAATCAATGAAGATAAAAATGAAGAGAACAACTAAATCTAAGTCAAAAATCAAATTTCCAAAAGAGCACTTTGGATAAAATTCCAAATTCTTAGTTATGAATTTATTACAATTGGTTCAACCCAATCTTAGTAGTTCGGGGTTTTGGGGTTTTGGGGTTTTGGGG